TGAACAACAAAACGACCTTTGAAAGGCATTCAGTTTCCGATGAACGTGGAAGTTCATCTTGTTTCATGGGGGGAGGTGTTATGCCACGCACTAGAGTCGTGCCATAAGGGAGAAGATCCTAGTCAAGATTATTGTGCAAGCCTATGGTGCAAGAATATATTCAAGGTTATTGTATTAGCCTTAGTCAACGAGATAGAACAGTTCTAAGAAGTATTGCATAATCAGGGCATCAGTCTTCGTTTCTTAAGATTGTGCAACGGCTTACTAAATATATGTGCGTTTTTGTGTAAAAAGAGAGAGATCTTTCTTATTTGTAAATAAACGTTAGGTGAGAAAGATCTTAGTTCATCCGGGAACCTAACAGCGTTGAACTTGTTTTTGATGAACTCGTTTTTAAAATTGGTTCGGAACGGTGCAAGTCGAATCGTGCTTTTGTTACTTGTTGTTGGATTTGAATATTTTGTCGTGCCGCTTGATGATACATTTTTAATGACCGCATCATTCTGGGCCAGTAGTCATTTGGTTTTGCCAATGTGAACGTTGGCTGTTTTTGGGCTAGTGGCAATGTTGGTTCTCGGCCAAACATCAATTGAAATGGTGAATACCCGGTTGTGGGATGTTGTCCAGTATTGTATGCGTAAAGAACAGCTAGCAAATATTCGTCCCAATTGTTCAAATTCTCGTCGTACAACTTCGCCAGTTGTGGATGGAATGTTGCATTAAACCGCTCCACTTCACCATTTGTTTGTGGATGGTACGGTGTTGATTTAATATGATCGAAGCCTATCATTGCTGCCACATTTTTGAGTAATTCATTGTTAAAGTGGACTCCTTGATCGGTAATAAGTCGATTTGGCACACCAAATTTAAATATGAATTCTTCAACAAATACTTGAGCAGTTGTTTGGGCCGTGTTGTTGGGTAACGCCTTCGCAACCACGAATTTTGTCAGATAATCGGTTATGACCAGTACGTATTTATTGCCATTTGCTGGTTCTTGTCTGGTTGGCCCCAAAAATCCATGCCAATCAATTCCATCGATCCTTCTGGCGGCATGATCGGATTGAGTTTGCCGGGTGGCTTTGTTCGTTTGATATTGAACTTGGCACATTTCTCGCATGATCGAATATAACTTTCAACTTCTCCACGCATCTTTGGCCAATAACAGCGATCTTTTAATTTCGTCCATGTTCGTCTGGAGCCAAAATGAGCTGCTGTTGGATGGTCGTGATAACTCGCCAATACTTCGGTTCTCATTGATGATGTGTTGACTACGTTCAACTTCATTATGTTGTTATTGACTGTCACCAGTCCATCTTCTACTGTTATGCCTTTCTGTTGTTGAATATGGTGGTGCAGAGCTTGAAAATAGAGGTGACTTGCATTTATTATCGAAGATTTAACTTGTACAATGCAGTTCACACCAGGTAAAATGTCATATTGTTGGACCAGTTTGGTCCATAGGAGTGCTCCTGCACGACTTTAGAACTAAAATGAGTGAGAAAACATACTAGGAACAAGAGAGCTCTGTTCAAAACTGAACAAACAATATCGAAAAAAACTAACGAAATCAGAAGTATTCGATTTTTTTATAGTAACATGCGACGGGGTGGTATAACGTGATGTCCTAGCGAACCATCAGGTTCATTAATTCGCAAATAATGTTTCACCATATAACTTTCTAAAATCACCGATCGTAGTGTTTTAACATGTTTAACCAATATAGAGTCTTTCATCTTTGTGGCATCAAGCATTGCCGAGAATATGGGGGTCAAAGTGTATAAGAGGATCAACCGGATGTAAGATAGAAAGAATCATTGTTCGTCAGCTAATGTAGTCTAACAGAATGTTCGTTAACCGTATTTGTAATAGACGTATGATGACGATAGATCCGTATACAATAATATTTACAGAAATGTTCATTGTCTTTGTCAAATCATTCACTTTGAATCTGACTAAGTTTCGACAGCGGGCATACTCATGTATATGTTGTTCAACACTGAGGGGCTAAATAATATCGAGGTTGTTTAATTAACCCTTTGGTGACGGAGCCCGTATATATACGGGCAGTATATAAAATCTTCGTTACTTCACTTATTTTGCACCTTTCTCACTTCCCATATATTTTCTAGCAAAAATAATAAAATATTTGAGATCAGCAGACAAAACTGGGTCGAATAGCATACTTAAAACTCGGTTTTCAGTAAAAACAATTTTATTTGAAAATTTTCTCTCTAGATTAGAGGTGAATGTGTAATCCTTCTTACAAAAGTTTCACCAACGTTTTTTCGGACCATAGGCTTTCATGATTATTTTGTCATGATTACCATGTATATGGATTGCAAATTGTATAGTAGAAAGTGCGACCCTTAGTTCATCACCGCCGCCCTTCTACGTATGTTTCATTCGTGAGTGTTCGTCCATCACACAATAGTTAACCTTCATACTTTGGCTAGATAATCTACGGACACTGTAGAGTCTTTAATACGAATTTGAAGGCAAAATGATGCTCTTAGACTAAGTTGTGAATTTCTTTTCGCAAAGAACCT